CAGAAAAGGAAGCACAAACAATATAAAGTAGTTGACTAAATTAAATATACAAAAGTTAAACAAATGTGCTCACTACAATTGGAACTAATGTTTTTTTTTTCGTTTTGTAAAAAAGAGAAAAATTGGTTTTGTGTGGGGTTACCGACCGTGTGACCATTTCACCCTCGTTATTGTGATATCCTTAGACAGACTCCTAGACTGGAGCAAACTGCCCTTAGAAATCTCAGAATTCAAGATCGCATCCTATAAAGGTAGAAATCTACAGGATTTTTTGCACTAAACTATAAAGATAAGTAACAGATACTAATAGTAAGGAGAATACATCAGAAAGTCTCCACTGTTTTCCAAAAACAGACACAAACATGTTGCAGATACTGCACTATCATCATCATATTACTGGGTTGGATTTATGTTTTGTTTTATAACGCTGAAACAGTTATGGGAAATAAATCCAAGTATGTCCTTTGTAAATGCCATGTTGTAGCATTTGAGGACAAAAAAAAAAAAAAAAAAAGATCTTCCCTGGTGTTTGCTTACAGCTCTCTGATGGTCCAAAAAAGGCAAATTAATCAGCTATAATCTTCCTGCGCTGATCTTTTATGTTTGGTTTCTAAAAAACATGGTTTTAAGTAAATATGGTCAAACACCTCTGCTATTGTCTAATCTTTCCAAAGTGTCAGGATTCAGTGGGCAGTGCTGATCAGGTCTCTGCCTGTTGCCTTTTTTCCCGCAGGTGGCTGTAGTTTGACAGGGGGGCGTGGTCCTCAGCTGCAGCTTGTTCAACGGCGTGATGACAGAAGGATTTAAGCAGAGGTGATCAACGGAGGGGGGCGGAGGGCGGGCTGTGATCCACGCCAGAGTGTTAACCCCTGTGTGGTATGCCTCAGCTGGCCACTGTCTACTGACAGCAACTCGATATAGAATAATTTTGGTTTCCTGTCCCTCTCAGGTTCCCTCTCGCCTTGGATCCCGTTCCAAGCGCTCTCTCGGGCTCCGGCATCTCAGGTCTGTACCAAGCCGGGCCGAGGTCCCCACTGGATAACCCGGACCCCTCAGAGGTGTCAGCCTGCCAGAGCTCCTTGCCGTCATGCCGTCCGGATTCCGCTCACCCTCCAACAGCCAGGTCCCTGTTACCTCCACCTAACCCGGGGCTCCATCTCTTGGAGGACCCGATGTGTCCGATCCTCCTCATTCCCCCTGGCTCGAGTCCGCTCACGTGCACGGTAAGACAGCACACAGCTGATCGCTCTGTCTTGCTAACTTTCAGATTCTCTCTGCAGTTTGTGCATACCTGGCCAGCGTCGGCGACACAAGGGTGTTGATGGAAGCAGCACAGCTGATGTTTCTTTCCAGGATGACGTCACAGCCAAACAGGAACAGAC